TGCAGGTTAAACATTCTGGGACTTGTGCTTGACTGTCACCCAGCAGTTTCGGCTGTGTATGCGTAACCCGGCGGTGAGTACGTGTTACAGTTCTCCCTCTGTGCCTGGTCCGGAGCAGTTATAAATTTGTTAACAGCTTCAGGAGGAGAGCCTGGCTTCGCAGCTTGCCCAGAAGCAGCCTGTGCTTGAGGGTCGCCCTGCAGTGCCTTTGCTGGCTCAGGATGGCAGCTGCTTACAGATGCTTGGCAGATTTTTGTACGCCACTAAAGAAAAAAACAAACCAGCAATTTAAGAGCAATTGCAATACCTGGCAAACAGCTGCTCTCCGTTGTCTGAAATCAGGGCTGCTTCACTGCAGGGCATTCAGTCTGCCTGCTCTGCCAGGCATCCAGTGAGGTCCTTTGAAGCACCCATTTGCAGGCACCCACCCCACACTGCTGGGGACTCCTGTACTGGGAACTCTCTGATGGGAAATACAGCTTGTTCACTCGGTGTGTTTCCAATGACCCCAAAGTCAGATGCTTAATTCGGGCGGTGTGTAGCCTCCCCTGAGCTGCCTTAGCCCATTCTGCCCATTTCTCCACCTCTCTTTGGCTGGGTGCGGAGGAGCTCTGCTGTCAGAGCAGGGCGACCTGCCTCCTCTGCTCCCCTCCTTCCCTGGGGAGATAACTCTCCAGTGATAACTCCACAACATGGGTGGCAATTTTTTTTTTCTCCTATATTTTTTAGCGGTGGATGCCAGCCAGGATTTAGGCTAAGCCTGTAGCGGTCAGGATGACCCTGGCGGGCACAGGAGGGGATTTGGCTGTAGGAGTCCCTCAGTGGCAGCACTGTCTGGCAGGATCCATTGCACTGGAGCACCTCCTGGAGGACCTCAGTCCTGTAGTGCTCGAGCTTGAAATCTTCAGGTGCTCCTGCTGTGAACTGGGTGCGATTCTGGTGCTGAGGGTAACACAGCTATTTAGGATGTGGTGCCATCTGAAAGAACATCAGTGTGGAGACAAGAGGTGACTGTGGCTTCTGCATTGTTTGCTCTAACCATAAGCAAAGGTGGAAGCTGATCCCTGTGGACAGGTTTTGGCTGCGCTCATCTGTGCCCTGAAGAATGAATGTAGAGTATTATTGCACTGGATTCTTAAAGCCATGGGTTTCATGTGTGGATATAATATAAAAAGTCACTTTAGTTCAGCAGAAAAATGTTTGTACCCACTAGGCAAGGAATTGTTTTTTGTTATCTGCATCTTGGGTAACAAATCCGTTCTGATAAATGCGGATAATATCAAGTCCATTGTTGTTGGCACCCAAAAATAATAGATAAGTTGTCTTGGGCAGTTCTAGTGGATGATGTCCAAAGATGACAGGCTTTTGCTGCTGATAAGTTCAAAGTAAATGTAGTTTTTTAGGTATATAGGAGAATTGTTGTTACTTCTGAGTACTGAGTGTTCTTAGTCTAGTTACGTAAGAACAGTGACGAAGTTGGCTTGAAGCCTTCTTCAAGGTTTATTTGGATCACAAAGAGAGTTCCCTACTCTGTAAAAAGAGAAAACTGGGTTGATTTCACACTTGAAGCCATTCACTATGAATGTCTGTAGCAACACCTGGCAGAGGTCCCACTATCACAGAATGAAGGCACCAAACTGTGTATCAAAAATACAAGAAGAGCAAAGCAGCCAGGCAGGACATCTCTGTCAAGGAAATTGATGCCCCATTCATTCAGCCCTACAGTATGTTTTCCTTAGACATCCTGTGCCTCCTTCAGGGTTTTAAAATGAACCATAACAACTTGTTCCTGCAGACAAAGCCTAGTGCTTATTTGTACTCGCCAGGTCAAGCTCTTCATTTGCGTGCAGGCAGAGACCCTCCACTCAATCAGCTTATTGCAAGAGGAGCTTCACAAGTTAAAGCAAGATTAAAAAATTGCACTCCTGCTAATGCATAAAAGTGAAATTAAAACCCAAATGATTAGGCTTTAGAAGTCATGGTTTGGGCTTATTGATAAGATAAGTTTTCAGGCAACTGACATTTTTGTGGTTTACCTATATTATAGCTAGGTCTCATCTAGGAAATTACTAGTGGTGTGTAGTGAAGGGGCTGGGGAGAGGTCCAGTTCTGTTTCATGCCGAAACTCCATCAGTGCCCTGCTGAGCCTGTAGCATCTTGTCACCTTTGCCTCTGTTTCCCTGTTGATAAAATGACAATGAACCCAGTTTTCCACGAGGATGGATGTGTCATAAGACTTTTTAGAAGTGCTTTAAGATCTTCATAGGAAAGCTTACGCTTCTACAGAAGAATAAAAGGTATTTACTTCTGTATGTGGTTGTTGCTGTGACACATTCTTCAGCTTTGGGTACCTCTCTTGTGCTTTTTACAGCATTCCCTGCTTGTAGCTGTTTCTCCTCTTTCTGTCCTTGCAGGAAACAGGGCCGTTCCACATTTGACAGTCATTCCCTTCACCCTAGAGTTTGTATGCAGTATAATTAAAATTCAATTCAATTGTGCATGATCTTCGCTCCCTTCCACTCAGTATTGATAAGGCGGTGGGAGATGAATGGAAGATGTCTTCGTCTGCATAGACATATGAATGGAAACTTCTGAAAGCAGGTGGCCAAAAGTGATGGGGTCAGGAGTAGGTCTGAATACAACAATAGCTTGAAAGCTCTTTTTGACACCACAGTAACAGTTAATAGGCATTTTTGCTTCAGCCTTTGAATTTGTTTAACCTAGGGTACAGGTACTATTTCACTGATCTGCTGTGTAAGTGCTACAGTATTTGTGGCCAGTTCTGGTATCCACAGCATCATCCTTCATTCCACTGTTGTGAACATTTTCTGTGATTAACTGGCAGAGGGAGCCCTGGCCAGTCTGAGAACTTTCTCTTGCTGTTTACTATTATTATAATAAGATGTTTGACCCATACAATAACAGCATTAGTGTTGGGTCCGAACCAAAATCTTTGGATTCAAAATGGTCTGAACTTTGGGAAATGGTCAGACCCAAATTTTGTGGTTTGGCTCAAGCTCTGAATGAAAAGAAACCAAACGTGCCTAGGATTAAAACTCCTTTAGAGTCAGAAGCTTTACTTTCTTTTGAAAGAGTTTCATTTTTTTAATCTCCATTGTTTGCAATGCTTCTTAGGACTTTGCAAATGCAAGTCAGATTTCTCTACAGATTTTTTCCCCAGATCCTTTCATATATGTGGATTAGTTTCATAAACTTCTAATACAGAGGAAGCTGATAATTTCCCCTTTGATTTTTGGTTATGTTTTCACCTCTGTAGTGAGAGGAAGAATTAATGCAGTTGTAGACTTGATGTTTGTAGGCTTCAAGTCTTTTTTTTTGAGCTGCGTAGGTAGGTGGATACTTTTATATGCCATTCTTGAAAAAAATACTGGTGATATGGTTTTAATTTTAAATTGTTCTGACATCTGAAGCTAAACATCCTAAGTGTCCACCTAATGCTTTCCCTGTGTCCTTTGGAGACTTGTGTGCACAAGGTCCACTGCATGCCAGACTCTATATTTTATGGAGAAATCCTTAGTGTATGTGCGGCGTTTAGGGAAAGCGTTAAATGCTACCAGATAGCTGGAGAAGGACTTGAGGGCCCTGGGTTGAACTTTTTTGTTTTGATACTAGTTTTGTTACTTGGCAGATGACAGCCTAATTTTCCTGATTGTTTATTTTTGCGAAGAGTGTGAGTGTTTTCAGCACTTCTCTGCAGCAGCTAACTTCTGCCTTTCTGAAAAGCCAGATCACAGGCATTTCTCTTAAGCTTTCTGTTTACCCCCTTTATAAACAAAGATTAAGGGGACCTCCCTGGGAAGTTGATGTTTAAGTCCTTTGAGGACCTCAGTGACTGGATCTGTGCGAGGGGGAGGTGGTGCATGCTTACATCTCTCAGGGACGCGTGAGGCTGGCACAGGCAAAGAAACGTGGGGTTCATTTTCCTTTCTCCCGCTTGGGTCTTACGGCTCATGGCTCCCCCTTCTCCCTGCCGAGAGCCTCCCTATCAGCCTGTCTGTCCTCAAAGCCGTGCACAGCCGCTGCGTACCTTGAGTTTCAGCGTAGCCCCTTTGCGGAGCCGCAGTGGGGCTGGTGCAGCACCCAGCCCCGTGGTGGGCTCCGCTCTGCAGGCGCCCTGGCAGCCCGGCTGCCTCCCCGCCGTCCCCGCTGGGATGGCAGGAAGCTCTGCAGAGAGTCTTGCGAATGCTCCGTGGTCAGGAGAGACCGCGGAGCTGCAGCTGGCGGCTTGTGGGCTGGACCTGACCTGCGGCGGGGCCTGGCTCTGTGCCTTTTCCTTGGAGAGGATGGGGAACAGGAGCTTGGGCACAGCAACCCCACTGCTGCTTATTTGCAGCAGCTGAAGACCTGGCCTGGGTAACTGGAAGAAACACAAAACATTTCTGAGCCTGGAGGGGATCCATAGCTCAATTTTGGGCTTAGGATCCTCTCCACGTTCTTTATTTCAGTGTTTGTGAGGTTCATATTTGTATTAACTTTAGAGGGCTGTCAGGAGGAAGCCAGATCAGCTCAGAGAGATCGTGGTTAGTGCTTCTTGTAATGCTGAACCCAAGTGCTCCAGTTCCTTAACATTATCACCACTGGAAAAAAAAAAAGGTAAAAATAAGGAATAAACAGTTTGGTACATTGTGTTGTTAATGTGAGGGTGGTAGACATCCATAGGCATACATTCTATACATACCTTCACGTGCCGTGCCTGAGGAAAAAATTATTTCAAAAGTGTGCTTCCTAATGCATCATCCAGACCTTACAGTCTGAGCAAAACAGCAAAGGTTCAGTCAACTAATCTCCTAAAGCTAATACCATGATATTTCACGTCATTTTGGGGTGTTTTTTTCAGCAAGCTCTGTATGCATTGCTTAACATTAAAAGGCTAAGGTAAATTATTTTCCTCTAGAAATGCCAGCTGCAATAAATCCTTCCTCCTTGCCGCTCCTGTAATGGAGGGCTTAGCATTTTAAAACCCTGAGCTGTTGACTCACCTTGCTTGCAGAAGTCCCCTGCCTGCCAGCTCAGCTTTCCAGTGACCAGTGCCTCTGCTCTGCGCTCTCCATCCATGGTCCTGGGATGCTTTACCAGGGGCCCTTTCTGAGCCTTCACATGAGGCCATGCTCCCATCCCTGTGACCTCCAGCTGATCTCCGCTAGCATCCGAGGGGGTATCTTGACACTTACAGCTATTCAGGGACCCAAACTAGCATCTCTCACATTAAACTCCTCTCTCCGTTATCTGCAGACCCTCGAAAACCTTATTTCAGCTGAATGGCCCATATTTTAGGTGCAGGCTGTGCCGTACCCTGTGAGTGCACAGTGTGTATATGTACTTTGTGGTATGTGCTGATTGAGCTCAGTACGGCTGCTCTCTGATACTGCTTTTTAACATTAGAAATATTTGCTTGTGCGTAATGTCAAGTCCTAGTTGTCATGTTTATTCTGTGGCCACCGTTGCCAGTGGGATTCAGGCTGTACTTACAGGAGTGCTTTTATGCATTTGTACTTTTCAAAAAACAAGTGCACCCTGCTGTTTGTCCCTGTCCCTAGGTCTCTGCCCAGGTCTTTGTAGCCATAGTTCCCTTACACCAAAGAGCCTTGCAATCCAGGCTCATATTCTTTCTCCAGACTGGAAACAAAATGCCCAACTCCTTTTTGTGAGCTACTCACCCAGCTTCCCTTGCTGCACTGGGTGAGGGCTTGGTAGTGCTTCATGAACTCACCCTTCCAGCTCTGGCTGGTACGGACTTTTCAGTATTATTTAAAAAAAAAAAAAAAAAAAAAGAGTGGGAGGAAGCTAGTCAAGTTCTGCAGAGTGAGGCTGAACTGACAGTATTAAACACTTATTTGTGCTTTCTTCTGTGTTACCACTGGAAAACGAGAATATGAGGGTGGAGGAGAGAAAAGCGTTGTTTAGCGGCAATGCCTTTATGCAAGCACGCAGCAGCCTTGTGCTTGAGTGCGTGGCTGCGAGGGACCGGATACAGTGTGGTTCTGCTTGTGGTTAAGACGCTAGGTGCAAGTGGCTTGGCCACCACCAGCCCCACATTACATAAAGGTCGTCTGGCCCAGGGTTAATTCTATTGCTACCAGACTTCAACTAAAGTAAATACGCAAAGCATTATATAACCCGAGGGGGAGAAGTAGGACGAAAATTATGGTGCCCACAGATGGAGTGGGGAGGGTTGTGTGTGTTGGTAATGAGTAATTTATAACATCTGCAGACTTTTTTTTTTTTTTTTTTTAGTGTTTTCCATTTCCCTGCTTTGTGGTAGAGTCTTTTTTAAAAGACCTGAAGGCAATGTTGTATCCAGCAATAGGTGAATTTAAAGGCTTGGATGCCTTTCATTTAGGTCAGCACTGAGATCCAGCATTCAAAATCAGAATCCAAATTTTGCTTGAATAATCTCAATTTGCCAAGTCTATGTACATAAGGAAACTCACCCTGCCTCCTCCCAACACCCTTCCTCTCCCCTCCCCCCCCCAAAAAAAAAAACCACAAACCAAACTGGAGTGTGTATATATAGAGAGAGACCTACCATTTCCCGTGTCAGCGTTAGCTGGCTGATGTGGTGTTATCTGTTGCTCTACAGAGGAACCACAGTGCAGTCACCGGGGTGGACACACCTTCTGCAGGCTGCTGTATCGGCTCTGCCTTTGAGTTTGGGCATGCAGAGACCCCCAATTTTGCTCTCTGCTGACACTTCCCCCTCCATCCCCGCAAGCACAGTAGCATCAGTAGCACTTACAGTGTCCTTTCCATCCAGGAGTGTTTTAGGATTTTAGGAAAGCTGTAAAAAAAAATAATCCTCTGCTTGCAGAAATAGATCTTCGTGTCGTTCTGGAGCATAGCAGATCCCCACTGCTTGGGACAGGGCCAGCTGAACCTGTTTAATATTCAGCTTTCAATTTTTTTGGGAAGAACTGATCCATATTAGATATTTGAGCATTTCATTCCTTTGTTGTCATCTTTCAAGAGAGGAGACATTTCTTCTTCCACATCCTCAGTTTAATCAGAAGGCTGAAAAAGGTATTTGGGGATTCCGGTGTTATTTATTTTTCCCTATTAGGAAATGAGTCACGAGTAAGTGACAACACTGTCTCCTATCAGAGGGACTCAGAGCTTGTGGATGCCAAGGATTCGTCTGCTAATTATGACTTCTAACTGCACAGTCTTACAGCCATTCTCTGAACCTTACCCTGTTTCAGGGGTTGCTTTTGCCTTTTATTATTTTTCTTCCCAGCAAACTGAAAAGGGCATTTCACTCTTTGTCAGTGAGGACACGTCCTGAGAGGTCCTGAGCACTTCTTCATCCCAGTAAATTGAGGGGGTGTCGCAGACGGTCAGCATTGCTCGGCACTCCCTCCATCAAATACATCGTAGAAGCATCTATTGGGAGAAGCACTCATAAAATTACCCATCAATATCTCTGCATTTCAGCTGCCACATACTCATTGCACTGATAGAAAGTCACATGCGTGGGCCAGGCTGGGATGGCTTTACTGGAAAGACGGCTGAAAAGTAATTTCTCTTCCCTGGGAGACAGGGAGTGCTTGGGGTATTCTGCTTCATGCCAGTGCCACTTACAGCCAGATCTTTAAGTCCTGTTAAGTTTAGCATACCTCTCAAGATGTATACCGAGTGCTGCCTTAAGATGCTAAATATTAAAATTGAATGTAAAAAAATCAACTCTGATGTTTTATTTGTTGCTCAGGACCTTTGCCTCAGTACTGTAGCCCTTTTTTGTTACGTTATCGCTCTGATATGAAGTCATTTGTTCTCCCTTCAGTGCTGAAAATCAATTATTTTTAAGAGCAGAATGAACTTTATGTTAAAAAACATTTGTTTTCTGCATTAAGAAGTATGACTGACTCTAATTGTAGGGGAAAGTTATGTTGGCTTTAAGGGAAAAGAAAAGTAATTACAAATAACTGTGTGCGAAGCCAGATGAGATTGGCTGGATCGTGAGGAAAATGTATCTTAATCCCTTGATCTGACAGTCGCCTGGCAGTCAGAGCAGGAAAAGAAAGTCACTGGGGTTTTTTTCCATCTCTGTGAGGTGGGAAATGCACATCCTACTTCAGAGATGGAAAATGAACAAATAAGTCTACTGGGCAGCATGACAATTACACACACATTCTTTTCTTGAGAAACTGCACATAGTCAGGATATTCTCGGTTTCCGGTGATAAGAGTATCACAGGCTCTGCCTGAGTCTTCTCTGGATCTCACGTGTGTTTACGTATCGCATTACTAAATTATGGAGGTTTTTATTTTGTGTAGTGTGTTCATCATAGTTGTCACTCCAAGACCTAAACAAAACTGGAGCCCTGCCATCCTGCTGCTGTGGAAAAACATAGGAATAAACTGTTTATGACCAAATAGTTTGCACTATGAGGCAATAAAAAAAATAACAGGTAGAGGAGAGGGATAGGATCTGTTCAAGCATCCATATGTCTGTGCATTATGTGTGTATGTGCATGCTTTGTCTGCATAGAGGAGGAACAGATGCATTGTAAACATTGTCTTTTTCCATTTTTTTAAGTTTTCTAATGTTCTCATCATCTAATGCTTGAAACCATGGCAGGGCAAGGTGAGACATCGTCCTCTCTTCTTTTCAAATCCCAAAGCATTCCTTACCATTCTTGTTTTAGACCAGAGTTTCTTCCTCTCCCTCCCTACCCCCCAAACAGGGCTGGAATTGCATCCCCCCAGTACAGGCATTTCCAGATCATGGAGAGCTTCCACAAAATTACCAACGCCACATGTGTCTTGGCGCTACAGAGCTAATTGCCACCTTCTGAAGCTTTGCTTCCTCTTGTAAAGAGTGAGGCTGTGGTCAAGCTGTAAAATAGCAGCTTGAACAAACATGTTTGAAGCTTCTGATGTGCACAATAGTTGCATATACAAATATACCTAAGGAAGACACAGGTTTCCAGGAATCAGGGTAATTTACCTGGGATCATTTCCTATGTACCTCAGCTCCACAACAGCCTAACCCAGCAGCTCTTTGACAAAGCTGTAGGTTTATGTGGGGTGTTGGTGTTATTTTCTAGCTGCACTGATGCTTTTACTAATGCATTTGTTGGAGGTGGTGGGGTGAGGTGGACTCCATGAGAGGGAATGCTAGAGGAAATGGTGGAAAATCTCTGTGAAAAAATACGGTTCATGAAATGAAATACATTATAGCTGTGGCTAGTACCTGATACCTGCTTGCAGAAGAGCAGTCCCTAGGTAGAGGGATTTCGATTGTATTTTTAAGTGCTTGGGTTTTGTCCCTTTTCTGTGTTGTTATAGCTCCTGTGGCTCCTCATTTTATGCAGAATATATAAACCTCCAAAGAGCGTGTTAAAAATCGTCCAGGTTAGGGGGCTAGACCATTACTTACATTCTGTAAATGTTTTGTGAAAACTTGTCTTTGGTTCCCCTCCTCTCCCCTGTCCCCAAATCAGTAAGCCTGGAGAAGCCTTTCCTGCGTTACTGTGTCCAGTCCCTGCCACTGCCACATAATGTCCAAACACTCCTTTTCTAACCTGATGGCAGTCCGTCTTAAAACTACTTAGATTTTTCGCCTTCACTGCTCTTATTGTTCCAGATCCTAAGTGCTTTTCTTTTTTCTAACCTGAATTTATCCACAGCCACTTCACACCCATCTGTTCCTGTGCCAGAACTGTCCTCTGACTCAAACCATCCTTCTCTCCCCTCTTACTTACCCCGCTGATACACCAGGGCAGGACTCGTGTTTTCAAATGCTTTACTAACCTGTTCTGGTTTCCCTCAAATGCCCTGACCTGGCCTAATAAATGCACGTCCTCGGCACTGAGTTTGCAAGGGCTCAGGAAGGAGGCTTGTCAGGCTTCCTCTGTTTGAACTTTTCTTGACCTGCCCGCAGCTTTCTTCTACTTGCTTGAGTTGCAACAGCAATTTTTCTAATGGGCCACGTGTCTATGGCTAATTTGTTTTACTTTTGTTTATCTTTGCATGATACCACCACGGTTTTATGACTCTACCATAACAACATAGTGTAGAGAAATACAGGCTTGGTATGATAACAGGAGCCTTGGGAAG